CTGGGGGTTGACAGACCATCCGTACCCTGAGGTCCTGCTCTGGGCCGGTCAGAAGCACACAAAGCTCAGCCTTGGGCTCACAGCACCCACGATTCACCTCTGCAACGCAGACCGTTTCCAGACAACACGGGTGAGGGCGGGCGGGTGTGGGAGGCAGCCCTGACGCAAAGACAGCCCCCACTGCAGAAGTCTCCCACCTGTGGCCAGGGGAGCTGAGGTCACTGAGCCCCTGAAGGAAAGCCACAACGCCCCAGAGTGGACCTTCTAGGGCAGACCGTGATGCCGGCACGCACATATGTACGTGTGTATGCGCACAGACGCACACGCGGGAGCCCTGGTAGCGCAATGCCGAGTGCTCAGCGGTTAACTGAATGGGTGGCCCTTCCGATCCACTGCAGCATCATGGGAGGGAGGCCAGGCAAGCGGCCGCCACCAGGAAGGGCCCTAAGAGCAGTTCTACTCTGCCAAAGGGAGCAGCTATGGGTGGGGACCCACCTAACAGCACAGTGTCTCTTTCTCTCACACACGCGCGCCAGTCAAAAGGTACGGCTGCTGGAGTGGACAGGTCATGCTGAACCACACCGCCGTGACCGCATTCTCCCGGTCACACACCTGTCACGGTCTCCTGAGTGGCCTCCAAGAGACCAAGACTAGGTCTCACTGAAGCAGACTCCTGAGCGAACCGGCTGGTCCACGCAGAAGGCAAAGGCAACTGTTCGGGGGTGGGGGGACTTCCCAGGGGAATCTAATAGATTCTTCTCCAAGGACACAGGCCAGTCACGTGAGGATGCTTTAGGGAGACAGGAGTGAGAACAAGCCCAGGAAGCGGGCGGCGAGGTCGTCCTGGGGCGGTTGCTGGGAGACCTGGCCCCGGTCTTGCCCTTCCACACTTCTTTAGCGCCCCCAAACGCAAGCGAACATTCCAAAGGCCGAGACCTGAGCCCCTCGAGGGCACCGAGGCGCTTTTGGGTGCGGCAAACCCGGGAGGACGGGCCTTTTGGGGGAGGGGGTGCCCACAGAGACACGGCGTCAGGCACACAGGCTGACAGGAGCCGGTGCGAGATGCAGCTGCTTCACAAGGTGGCACTGGGTCCCACAGAGGTTGAGACCGTGTGCATGTGTGTACGAACATGTGAGTGTGCACGCACACATCTCAGGTTGACATCATCTGTCGTCCACCCGCAGAGGAGGAGCCCTGGGGGTATGAGCAGCGCCGCTGACCACAGGGCCAGCGGCTCAAGGTCACCAGCTGCTCTGCCGGAGGAAGAGCAGGCTTCCGACACCTGTGATGAGGGACAGTCTCGTAAACCCGCCAGGCCAGTTCTAATGGGTCACTAATGGGTCAAAAATGTCTCAATGTCAGGGACCGAGTCCATAGACGGGACAAGCCAAGCGGCGGCAAGGCCCCACAGGAGCCTGGTCAGGTCAGGTCAGGTCAGCACCGCCCAGTGAGCCACCCTTACTTGATGTGCTCCTGGCGCCCGGACCCCTGCACCGTCTGGCACCGCCCAGTGAGCCGCCCTTACTTGATGTGCTCCTGGCGCCCGGACCCCTGCACCGTCTTGGCTCCCCATCGCTGCTCCTTCTCGCTGACGTCGTTCTGCAAAGAGAAGGCCATGAGCGCAGACCCCACAGGCCAAGGGGCCCCCAACCTGGCCGGGCCCGGGCAGGCTGAGGGCCACGAAGGAAAATGCCAGACAGCTGTGGGCGGAGTCACGTACCACGAAGTCGGGGTCGGTCTCCCAGTCATCCGCACCCCCGTCGTCCTGGGTGATGGACACGGAGTGGCCGGCAGAGGCTTTCCACATCTGAAAGTGGAGCGAGGTGACGGGACAGTCCAGGGTCACAGACACACGGGGTCACAGATCCATAGGGAGACAGACTGACTGCAACCACAACTCAAGACACACGGGGTCACAGACACAGCAGGTGAGGGACACACAGGGTGACAGGCTCACTCTGTAACCACAACTCGGACACACAGGGACGACAGTGGGGGTGGGGCTCAGGGCTAAGGGTCATTCAAGTCCTCCCAGTCTGAGGGAGGACACGCATGAAAAACGGACCCCATATTGTCGCTAGAGAGCCCTGGTGACATCGCGGGTTCCACTGGGCTGCTAACCTGAGATCAACAGTTGGGGACCACCACCAGCCACCCCATGGACGACGAGGAGGGTCCCAACCTCGGGAGCCCCCAGGGCTGTCGGGTGGCTGGGTGGAAATGGACTGGACTACTGCCCTCTCCCTAACTCGGAAGCCACACACCTCCCTACCCCCAAGGCCTCAGTGGCCCCACCTCCGGGGATAACATCGGCGGATGGAGGCAGACGGACAGCTAAGCACGTCCTCTGCTCACTAGGAATGGGTGTCTATCCGTGAGGACCTCAGGGCAGCGCTGCCCCCAGCCGGAAGTCACCGGCTCCCAAGCGGAACTGGAGACCATGCTGGACTCGGCTCCGGTGCCTGGAACGTGCTGGCTCCGTCAGCCGCCGCGGGCTGTGTGGTGCAGGGCGCAGCCTAACACCTTGTGCAAGTGACTAACGTGGGGCCTGAGATGGAGCCGCCCCCAGCCTTCCCATCCAGGGCGGCCTGACCCTGGCAGAAAGGTGGCCGGGGGCTGGTTACTGGGAGCCGTGAAGCACCGCTGGTCAGAGTTGGGGACACACACAGGCAGGCCCCCCCTCTCCCTCCTCCTTACTCCTTATCCTTGCTCAGCTTTCCCAGGAAATTCCCTGCAGAAACCTTGGGCCACGCCCGCCTGAGTCCTCGGCGGATGGGGGTTTGCTTTGGGACACTGAGACGCTCGGACACTGTGGATGATCGGCCTGGCGCTGTATGCTGCTTGCTTCCTTCCCTGTTTGTCCGGCAAAGAAAGAGCTGGCATCTGCTGACTCAGACCAGGCAGCGCTGGTCACAACCACAGGCAGGAGGCGGGATCAGTGAGGGTCTTGAAAGCCACGGCCTCACTGCGTGGACATCATCTCTTGGCAGCCGGGAAGCAGCCCAAGGCAGCAGCCGGGGGCCACCAGTGAGTCCGTTCACTTTCTCTGGTGCCTGGAGCCCCGGGGATGTGTGTGGTCCGAAGGGAGAGGGCTCTGCCCGTCTCAGGTCCTGGTTCAGCGTGGTTCTTGGGTGCCAGTCCTGAAGTCAGTTCCGGCTCACGCTGACCCTTGTCAAAGAGAAGGAAGCACCGCCCGGCCCTGCACCGTCCAGACAGCGGTTCTTCAGCGGGGCCCACTGTTGGAGGCACTGCGTCCATCCGTCTCCTAGAGGGTCTCTACTTATCTGCTGACCCTCTGCTTTTACCAAGCACGTTGTCCGTGCCCAGGGCCTGGCCCTGCCTGAGAACACGTTCAAAGTGCACGGCGTGCAGCCTGGCCTTCCTTGCTTCTGAGGGCGTGCTGCTGGTGAGGCAGGTTGGTTTGTTCTCCTGGCAGTCCCTGCGTGCGTTTGACATTCTTGGCCAAAGCCATCATCCAGAGGTGCCGTGGCTTCCTCTATAGCCACTTGTCTTCATGCCACCAAACAGGCCTTGGGTCAGGCCCACCTTGGTCCTTAAGGTGCAAGCTTTGCTTCTGGACGCTTTCAAAGGGTCTGTAACACAGGGTTTCCCCAATGCAGTACTGAGATGCAGTCAACCGACGTGGCCCTTCTGGCCGTAACTCCCTGTGTGAGCTAAGTTATTCTGGACTCTCTCCTGGGGCTACTGCCCCGCTTTATGGGGTGCTCTGTATAGACTAACGGGCAGGATGAGAGTGTGAGTCAGACCTGACTTTGGCAGAGGGAGGAGCCCTGGTGGTGTGATGGCTATGAGTTAGGCTGCGATCCGCGTGGTCGGCAGTTCAAATCCACCAGCGGCTCTGAGAGAGAAAGACTGGGCTTTCTACTCCCATCAACAACTGCAGTCTCTGAAACCCACAGGGGGCTGCTGTGAGTCGGTGCTGACTCGACGGCAGTAAGTATGTCTGTCTTGTTTAAAGAGCTACTGTCTCAGAAGCCTACAGGAACACATGGGCAGTTCTACTCTGTCCTACAGGGCCACTGTGAGCCGGCATGGACTCCTTCCTTGGCAGGGGTCTGCGTGAGAACAGAGCCACACTCTGTGTTCCCTTGGGAGCATCTTTCTACTGTACTAGAGGGCGTGACTTACGACAACACCCACTGTTCTAGTTGGCTGCAAGGCAGACGGCTCCTCCCTCTCAACCATGGCGCAGGATGTGGGAGCCATCTGGGGCACAGAGAGAAACCCTGGGACCGTTTGGCTCTGTCTGACGTGGCGCAGGCTGCCCTGGGACCGTTTGGATCTGTCTGACGTGGCGCAGGCTGCCGAGACCAGAGGCACCAGAGACAGTGGCCCAGAGCTCAGAGCAGCCACCAAGATGAGGAGACTGGGACAGAGTGACAGGCGGGCTTCCCGGCCCATGAAGACGCTGAGGTCCAGAGAGAGACTTGTCTGCTGGCCGAGATGTCGCTGTGGACCCATGACTGTCCTTACAGTTGCCCATCCTGGCGGCTGCCCGTGGGACACCAGCACTGAGGGGAATAGGACGAGGATTCGGTTCCCTCGCTCATAGCAGCGGTGACTGGGAAGCTGGTATTCCAGTGGGAAAACCACCACTTTGGTAAGTTAGAGATCAAGTCCAAGTACATTACCCTGCTTTAAATCACGTTCCCACGGAGTCTCTCCTAACAGCTGTGCTGCCTTCAAGGGAGCACTGGTTGATTTTTATCTCCCTACAGAAGCGGGCATCCTCCTGCCATGCCACCCAGCGCCCCTCATACTTCCCCGCAACGCAGGTATTCGGTATCCTCACCTGTGACCTCAGGGACCTTACTTACTGCAGTTCCACCCACCTTGGGATGCATGTAGCTACGGAATGTGCATGTCCCATGGTGACCTCTCTGTCCCAAGAAAGACGCTCTCTTCTCCCGCAGTTCCACGGGGTCCACCAAGAGGGGCTGAGTGAGCAGGCTGCCCTGAGAAGGTGTCTGACTCCTGCCTGTACTCTCTCCTGTCTCTCCTCTCCTCTGCGGCTGTACTGTCCTCTTCATGTCCTGTAACCGCACAACTGCGCCCAAGCTGTGTTCCCGTAACAGCCGCCAGCCTGTCACCTTTCCTCACAGACCCCCTTTGTGGTCAGTGTCTGTGAGCTCTGGGCCACTGCAGAGAAGTGGAGCGGCGGGAGGAACAGCGGGTGTCAGAGTAGGGACTGAAGGATGGAGCGTGGAGGCTTGTCTCCGCCCTGACTCGTGGCAACAGGGAGGGAAGCCAGAGGGGGTGAGACACAGCCACCTCTGGTGCTGCTGACGGCAAACACGCTGTCGCTGTGGATCCAAGCAAGACGAAGCCCGCGGTGGCGTCCGCCACTGCCGCATGCGTCCCGGTGTTTGTGATGATGCGCGTTTTCTTGACGCTGAGTCGTGAGCCGTTCTGAAGGCGGCAGGCTTGTGGTGTTGGTCAGCGTGAGCTCCAAGCCCCTTCGGTCGTGTCCCCTGCATAGTGCATGCTGTCATTGAGCCTCCTTCTAATTCCGACGCGGTGTTCCTCACACAGCCCAGCCTCCTGCATGATGTGCCCAGCACACACACTGGACAAATGTGGGGAAAAGATACCACCCTGGCGCACCTGGTTTTAAACCAGCTAGAAGTTCCCTGTGCTGGTCCAACAGGGGCCTCCCGCTCGTGACGGGAGCAGGCTGCACAGGTGCATGAGGAAGTGTCCTGGGATGCCCGTTCACACTGTGTGCTCTGATCCACACAGTCAAACACCTTTGCGGAGTCCGTAACACACAGGCAAACATCTTCCGGGTCGTCTCCGCTTTCAGGCCAAGGTCCATCGGCTGGGCCACGTCCTCTTCTGAATCTCCTGGGAATTTCTGGCAGCTCCCTGTCCAAGCACGAATGCAACTGTTTCAAACTTATCTTCAGCAAAATTTTGCTCCTATGTGATATGAACGATGGTGTACAGTAGGTTGGGGGACCTGCTAAGTCATTTACTTTTCTTGGGAAAGGGCACAAATATAGATCTCGTTCCATCAGCTGACCAGCCGGTTGGCTGTCTTCCAAATTTCTCTGCATGGACCAGCGAGTGCCCCCAGTGGGGGCTCCATAATGTGTTTTATGTCTGGGTAGACTAGAGAAACAAATCCAGGGAGACTCAAATGTGAATAAGAAAGATCATTAAATACAAGAGCAACTGAATATAGAGAAAACTCCCCAGCCCACTCCAGATCAAGTCCATCAGTCTGATACCAATCTACAAATTCCTTTTCAGACTCATGCAGGACGATCACAGGCCAGTGGGTGGAAAGTCCTGTGGATCCAGTGGCGCTGGAAGCATCTCAGCGCTGGCGTGGGTCTCCATGTGGCTCCTCCAGCTCCGGGGCTCTAAAGTAGCTCTCCATGTGCCTTGTCCACAGGAATGTCTCACATGGGATTCCGCCCGTGCCTAGAGCCTTGCTTCCTGGTTCACACCCATGCCTTCAAGGCCATGGGTGCTTCATCGTGTGCTACCTCCTGCAACGGTTGCCTGTCCTTAGTGTCACCCACCCCAGCTCACCTGGTGTCCGGTCATTGGTGCTTGGTGCTGCAACGATTCTTCGGGGGTCTCTAGATCCTGGCAGGCTCAGCTCAGGACCTCGCTTCAGTTCTGGGTGACCTGTCCTTCCACCTCGACTTAACTTGCAGGAGAATAACCGAGGGCCTGTGCCCAGCCTTGCTCTGAAAGAGGACAGAGTCCCCTCCCTGCCTCTTGCACTGAGATGCAGCCAATCTGAATCCCGAGTGTGGCATTTCGGGAGGTCCGTTTCCGAAGTGGAAAAAGTCTTTCTGGTGAACAGGGCGCTGGGCTGGCCACCGGATCCTATCACATGATCGTCAGAATGACTCTATTACCAAGTCCGCATGTTCCAATTTCCAATTTTCCAAAACCAAACGCACTGCCTTCGAGTGGATCCCACTCCTCTCGAGCCCTGGGGGCATCGTGGGTTACACATTAGGCTGCTGACCACGAGTTCAGGTCGAGGTTGGTAATTCAAAACCACCAGCCACTCTGTAGGAGAGAGGGGCCTTTCTGCTCCCATAGAGATTGACAGTCTTGGAAACCCACAGGGACAGTTCCACCCTGTCCTACAGGGTCGCTGGAATTTCCCAAAGAGGGAGGGGCGATTCAGGGCACAGTCCCCTCAAATTCCCATTGGGGATCCTGCCACCCAAATGGAGGCAGGAAGGTCCCACCAGTGGGGCAGACCAACCACCAGGGTCCCTTTGAGGTCCCTCCACCGGGCCCCCCACTGTCTGTGTGTCCCAGAGGAAAATGGAGGCAGGAACTTGCTCCCTAGGCCTGCTTCTGACATGATTTCAAGAGCAGAGACCATCAGCTGCTACCTCGGGAGGCCCAACCGGATAATCCAGTCCCAGTGTTCTTGTCTAGCAAGCGAGGACAAGGACCCCGGACCCACCCAGGAGGGGGGCAGGTGCAGGTGCCGAGAAGGCACCAGCCTGCAGTCAGAGGCAGAGCGGAGGCCCTGCCTGGATTCCAGAACAGGTGGCGGGATCGCCACGTCTTCCAGGCTGCAGCCCAACACACCCACAGCTACTTTCCTTAGTTCCAGGTTTTTCCAGAACCCTGGCCCCATCTTTCTCCACGACAGACAACGCTTCAGAGGACACGGTTTTTAAACAATGGAATGTCTTTCCAGAAAACGACCCCTTCTGTCCTCACTACCCTGTGAGGAGCTACACACACACACACACAGAGAGATGTCCTGTCTGGGACATCTATCCTGATCTCCCAAGGGAGCACCGCTAGAATGTTGTGGAGACACCTACCTTTCTTGCTGGGGACGGGCGACAGGCTTGTTCACAAAGCTCGGGTTAGGCGTTAGTGGTCCAAGGAAAGGCTGCCAGGCATTTGGGGAAGGTTCTGTCTGTCAGAACGAGAAGATGGGGAAAGCTCGTAAAGGGGCCTGCGGGGCACTCCAAGCTCCCTGGAGGCAGGGAGAATGTGCTGGGTGACTCTGCGGGCCGACACGGACGAGGCTCTGGGAAGAGATGTCTGAGAGAGAACTCCCCCATGTCGACACCCTGGAGAAGTCGGCTTTGCCCAAATCACAACACAGTTAAAACAAAACAGAGCGCCGGTTCAGGAGGCAGGAAGAAAGCCGGAGGGGACAGGAGCCCAGGAGGAAGTGGGAAGAGGCTGGTAGTGGGAGAAGGTTGCAACCCCACCCTAGCCCACCCCCGGCAGAGAACCAAACATGAATGAGGGGCTGAGTGGGGGACTCGCCCGCGTGCTCAACTTTCACCCAAACCTCAAGAAATCATGCAAATAACCAGAGGTAAGTTTCGGAAGCAGAGCCCTAACCGGAGCGCAAAAGCTTCCCCTAAATGCAAAGACCGAGGGCTCGCTGGGCCGGGAACTGGCAGGCGCCTCCGGTCTGCTGTCACCTGAGTCAGTCTCCGCGTCTGGCTATTCTAGTCGCAGGATTCCCCAAACGTGCCCAAGCCACCAGCTGGCCACTGTCCACCCCACATGACACTGCTGGACCCCTCCCTCCGGGCAACAAGCCCCAGGAAAACGGGTCCTGGGGAAGCCTTCCCAGGAAGGGTCTGGGGCCGGCTCCCACCCATACTCAGCCCTTCCCTCCCTGCCCCCACAGCCCTCCTGGGTTCCCATGCTGTTACAGACTGCTTGGTCTGTTGTGAGAACCAGGGTCGGCCATGCAGTCCGTCAGCCTCTGTGACTGTGCACAAGGGCAGCAGAGCCTGTCCCCAATCTACCATCATGCAGGGCACTCCTGAGAAGCCAGGGGCTTCCCCACACGCAGTGTTCAACATGCTTTCAGGAAGGACCAGTTCCCACGGGAGGGCATACAGCAAAGGGTAGGTGAGATAAAGGAAGACCCTCCAGGAGGCAGGCTGGCACAGGGCTGCCATGCGGGGCTCAGGTGGAACAGCCCTGAGGGTGGTGTCAGACAGGCAGTGCTTCCTTCGCTGATATGCCCGGCAGCTGGGAGTCAACCAGAGCCACCCGGATGGTACCCCACATGACCCCCAGCTTCTGTCCAAGTACACTTTCTGAAGTCAGCGCATAACTGGTCGATAAACTAACAGCTTTGGGTACTTGAGATCCTTGAGACAATCTCCCTGGGGTCACACCAGTCACACCACACCAGTCACCCCACACAGCCACACCAGTCACACCACAGAGCCACACCAGTCACCCCACACACACAGCCACACCAGTCACCCCACACAATTCATACCACAGTCACACCAAATGGTCACACCCACACCAGTCAATCCATACACACTCAAAGAAGTTCACCCCCGCTGAGTGTCAATGCTGACTCTCAGCGTCCCTGCAGGTGCCTGTGATGCCCCAGGCTGTAACTCCTCCCGGGAGCAGACTGCCTCACCTGTCTTACAAGGAACAACTGGGGGTTTTGAACTGCAGACCTCGTGGTCCGCAGCCCAATGTGTTGTGCTACCAGGGCTCCCATAGGGCACAGGGAGGCGCTCCACGGGGAACAAAACCTCACTGTCCACAACTGTGAGACGCAGGGAACCTGGGAGTCCAGTTTCAAGGCGTGGCCTGAGCCAGGGCCCCAGAGCATCAGGGGAAAAGTCCATATAGTCCATGCTTCCTGTGGTCCAGAGTGCCAGGGGTCGCTGCCAAGGGCCTCCCTGCCCCATGACTGGGGGTAGGTCAGACGCCCGTTTCCATCGGCTGTTGTGGGATGCTGACGGGCAGGCCTCTCTTCCTCGTTCATCCCCATCTGGAAGCGCTGCTGAATGTGGCCGGCATCACAGACATAGGGGCCTGGGAATGAAGCCCAGTGTCTCCCGCATGAAGCCCAAAGGCACAGGAGCAGATCACTCCGGTGCTCGGCTGCTAACCAGAAGGTCTGCTGCTGGAAGCCAGGAGCCACTCTGAGGGAGCAAGGTGGCCACCCAGGGGCCCTCAGGGCTGGGTCTCCTCTCCTCCAGGGTTGCTGTGAGTTGGCCGGAGCTGATGGCACTGGGCTTGGTTATTCGTGGCGGGGACTCTGACTCAGGGCCTCCATGTCGGGCTTCAGAGTAGAACTGAGCTCCGAGGGGTTTCGGTGGCCCTGGTCTCTAAGAAACCGACCAGCAGGTCTTTCTCCGGATTCAGCTTGGAGGCGGACGGTGGAAGCAGAAAGGACAGACAGAGGGACGTGGAGATGCTGGAGCCCACACCCGCTGCTGGTGGGGGTGAGAGGTGGGACCTCGGCGTGGGCAACCACCTCGCAGGTCCTCACTAGAGAACACACGGCTTCCTCGAGAATCACAGCCAACCAGAAACAAACTGGCGCCGTCAGTCAATGCTGACTCATAGCGACCTGCTCTGGGTGTCCGAGACTGCAACTGTTAACGGGAGTAGAAAGCCATCTTTCTCCCTCAGTTTCTGGAGGTTTTGAACTGCCAACCATGTAGATCACAGCCCCATGCTCGACCACTATGCCACCAGGGCTCCTAGGTGTACAGCCAGGAGACATGCAATCCTATGTCCCCACAGGCCACATACAGGCACTCACAGCAGCAGACTGACAGCAAGTAGAAGCCAGCCAGTGTCCCAAGACAGGAGAGGGGCCTGGGGACTGTGGTGCGGCCGGACCACGAGGTCTAAAGTCAGTGTGACAGGGTAGCTGTGTCCTTCTGCCAACAAGTTGGTTCAGGCCCACAGCAGCCCACTCACTGCACAACAGAACAGAACGCTGCCCGTGGATCCCTGCCTGAGCCCGCAGCTGCAGCCTCGGTGTCAGTCCATGACCATGAGGGCCTCATAGGACTGCAAAGAGCCACTGACATTTGAATTCACACTTCATGGGGGGGGGGAAGGCTAGGCTGTATGGTGGCGAGCTGCCTCTCAATAAAGCTGTTCCTATGGAACCCTGGGCATGGAGTGGGTTACAAGTTGGGCTGCTAACTGCAAGGTTGGGGGTTCAAATCCACCAGCTGCTCCATGGAGGAAGACAAGGCTTTCTACTCCCATACAGAGTTACAGCCTTGGAAACCCACAGGGGGCAGTTCTACTCTGTCCCGTGCTGTCGCTATAAGTCAGAATTGACTCAATGGCGGTGAGCTGTGTGTGTGTGTGTGTGTGTGTGTGTGTGTGTGTGGATTTAGAAAGCTTTTACCAAATATACATATACATACACACACAGTTATGCCCAAGGGTATGGCCCTTAATCACCTTTCAAGCCAGGAACTGACCTCACCCCATGGTTCCACTTTCAAGCAGCCAATGGGCAGACCTATAGCATGAACAATAGCACCAGAAGGCCCCACTCCTAAGAACAATCAGCCACTAACGACCAAAGGGGAAGCTTTGCCCAGGGAACTCAGCAGGCAGGCAAGCTGGCGGGGAGGGGACACAGGAGAGCCAGGGAGGGAGCGAGGAGGGGGCTGCTCCATTTAGGGGCTCCCATCCAAGTCACAAATCAAACTCTCTAGGTACTGCTGGATGGCAAGCCTGTTTGTGCTGTACATTCCCACTCAAAACAGACACACACACAAAGTTAAATAACTTTAAGGAAAGGGATAATGACCTTACACCATGCACCATTTATATTAGCCCTCGCTGGCAGCTCGCATACCAAAGCCACTGCCACCGGGGCTCAATTACGACCCTATAGGGCAATTCACAGCAATTCTAAAGGAACTACCCCTGTGAGTTTCTGGGGCTATAGCCTCATCTTTCTCCGGAGTGGCTGGTGGGTTTAACCCACGGACCTTGAAGTTGGCAGCCCAATGACTAAAGCCAGACCGGTACCAGGACCCCATCCCAGGATTACAGTCCAGCAAACCCTACAGTGTCCTACAGCATCCCTGGGATCCACTGCACAGCAGACAACTGTAAGGCAGGAACTGAAGCCCCATCCTGAGCTTTTGAATTTTAAAACCCTTTGAAGACAGGAACATCAAAAGCTTTAGCTAAAAGACACCTTGGGTGAGAGTCAACTTTCGGCTTGGAGGGGCTGGACCTTGGAAGGCCACCGTCTCCACCCCCTGGCTCTGCTCTCCTCTATATCCCAGAACCCCTTTCATATGCGTCCCCGCCAATATTGCAGACTTTTCCAGCCAAAGGGAAGAGCCTGCCTGACTCAGTGTGCAGGGCCCTGTGACTCACCACGCGGTCAACCACGTGGAGGGAGGTGGGAGCCCCCAGGCTAGCCTGGGCTCCAGCTCCCAGCTCTGGTGCCAGGACACAGCAGCCAACCCCTAAATTCTGCATAAGCTGCAGAATTCCAGGGAGCGAGCTGGGTGCAATGGAATTCCTCCCTGATTCCTGTCCAAAGAACCCAGCCCTGCCTCTGGAGACCCTCCAAGCTACAGACCGTGCATCCGCTAGGGTATGAGGGGTGGGTGGGGGGCCACCCCAAAGTACCTTTATGCTGATTACAAACACAAATCCAGAGCCCCGCCCCCACTCCCAGCAGCTGCAGCACTGAGTGGCTGCTTTCCCAGTGACCTGATTGAGAAGCTTCCGTTCAGGTGCTCAAGGCGGCAGGGGCAGCTCCACCCTCCAGTCCCACCCTGTGCGAACCTGGCCCCTCCCCTCTTGGAACCGCAACTCCATCCCACCCTGAACCCTCACCTCCCCACTCTCCAGCCCTGCCCCGTGCAACCCGACCTCCCTCCCCTGACTGGGCTCTAACCCACCCAGACCGCCCCCACTCTCCGACCCCAGGCCCCTAGGGACACCGGACCCCTATCATTCCTCTCTGGGCTCATCCCACTCCCAGCCTGGCACCTTTAGACTCCGCCCCGCAGCACCCCAACCTCCCACCCATTGACCCAGGTTCCCAGAGCTCCTCAGCCCCTCCCCTATCCCACCCAGACTCCCCACCGCCCAGCCCCGACTCCGTCCCAGGTGACCTCGGCCCGCACCCTCCCATCGCTACTCTACTCCACTCTGGTCCCCTCCGACCCCAGCGCTCCACCACCGGATCCTGGCCCTGTCCCACCCCCAGACCGGCACCCTCGAACCCCGCACCGTATGACCCCACCCCGTGCAACCCCAACATCGCCCCCTTGACCCCGTCCCGTACCATCCCAGACTCTCCACCCCGACAACATACCCACCGATCCCAGTTGATCCGTGCACCCCCAGCCCTATCTTGCCCACCCAGATCCCAGCCCCCGCCCCCTCTCGCCTCCCCGGCCCCGCCCCCTTCCCCTCACACGCCATTTCCCCCGATCCCCGAGCCCCCAGTTCCTCGGACGCCTAGTCGGGTCCCCTCGCTCCGTCCCCCTCCCCCCCCAGCTCCTCAGGACCACCTGCTCCCGCCGGGGCGGCCCGCCCCTCGGCCCGGCCCCCCCGCCCCGTTCATCCCCATCTGGAAGCGCTGCTGAATGTGGCCGGCATCACAGACATAGGGGCCTGGGAATGAAGCCCAGTGTCTCCCGCATGAAGCCCAAAGGCACAGGAGCAGATCACTCCGGTGCTCGGCTGCTAACCAGAAGGTC